CACAGACGGCAGCAGGCTATGCATACGCGCGACTCGGTCCGCATCCATATTGATGATACTGCGTCAGCATGGAACAAGCGAACGCACGAAGAGACGTGGGTGTTAGATTGTGACGCACGCTTCACGACCTCGTCCGGGCTCGTGAGTAGGCAATCGGCCCAGGCAAAGCCGACAAGACGTACTCCGGTGTCTTCTCAAATGTATATACATGCGAGACGTTGGCGAAGCTGTCCATCTCAAACCCAAGCAAAGCATACTTGCGCCAGCCACTTTCAAAACCACGTTGATCTATGAAAAAAAAAACCCCCCCGGAAAGCCCGTGTGAATGCTTCTCGCCTTCTAAAGGAATGTAGGGGTGCTAGAGCTATATTATCAGGGGGTCGTACTGATTTTATTAAAAAACTGGGCTTCGGGATTCTCACAAACGCCCTCCATAGTGTGCCTGTTGAAGCGCTTCAAGTACGGGTGCATGGTCAGCCAAGAGCCAAGCTCCCCGGTCCCTGCCAACCACAAACAAAATACCATTGCCACGCGTGAGCATACGGCTCCTAAGGACCACGGGGCAACTTGGAAGGCACGACGATTGATCCGACAGAACCGTGCACCACGAACCTCCTTTCATCACACCCATGATGATGAGCGATGGAAGACAAGCAAGCCCGCTGGCGAGGCTGCTATGTGTGATGCAGATACCGGCATCCATGTGCTCGGCCCGCGTGTCATCGGTGAGGGTGATGACGGGACGCAGGCTGAGCCGAATGGACGAGGCGTTGCGCGTGTGTTTAATCAAGGTCTTTGCGTTGTTGGCAGCCGAGTTTGAGATGGGAAACACCTCGCTCTTGAACCAGTCGGCGACCTGGTCGATGGGCTGGGGATGAGGGCATTGACTCCTCGCCGTTAGGAAGAGGAGGGATGATAGCAAGAGGATGGGCAAGCTGCACCCTCGCTGCCTGGTGAACGACATGGCCTGCATCCCAGTCGGTGCCTCCGTCCAAGAGCTATGCGAATCGGAGTGCAGCTAGCAACACACAAGTACCACACGAGACGGAGAGCGAGAGAGAGAGAGAGAGAGAGAGAGAGAGAGAGAGAGAGAGAGAGAGAGAGAGAGAGAGAGAGAGAGAGAGAGAGAGGTCGAGAGAGAGAGGTCGAGAGAGAGAGAGAGAGAGAGAGAGAGAGAGAGAGAGAGAGGTCGAGAGAGAGAGAGAGGTCGAGAGAGAGAGGTCGAGAGAGAGAGAGAGAGAGAGAAAGAGAGAGAGAAAGGTGTCAACAGCAAAGATACAGAGGAATAGCATAGCTAGACAGAGGCGCTAGCAGAGGGGCAATGATATCAACAGGACACGAAGATACAGCAAAACTACTACATGTAGTAGGCACACAGGAAACAACTTGGGCTTACACCGCAAGTCCTCCTTGATGTGAAAAACGGCTTTATTGTCAGATCAATTTTGTCATGCTTTTCATGCGGGATGGAGCGACGGGGAAAACTAGGAAGCTCGGAGCGACACATACAGTACTTCATCGTTCAGGCTGTGGGTGTGTCTGGCCTTCTTGGCAACACCTCGTGCACGGCGTAAATTGACAAACGCGCAAGCGCGAACAGACAAAATTCAGGCTCAATTGATAGGCCAGTGCTTGCGCAACAGGCTCTTGTCTACATAGCGGGCTAAATCCCGCATGCTGGGCAGATACATCTCCACCAGCAGCTGATACACGTCGTCACCCAGGCTCTCATACGGCTTGCTGTCCGTCTTGCTCTTTACAGCTTGTAGCGACGTGTAACCACGGGCGTTGATTCGCGTCAACGGTGAATAATCAAAGAAAGGAAGCCCCAGCCACGTCTGAATATCATTGATGTGAGAGACCATATCCTTGGACATGGCCTCGTACAGGTTGAGGTGAATTTGATCGCGAGGATAATACTGCGTGATGACATCGAGCTGCTCAGCATAGAAGCCGCGCTCCAAGATGGCAAATGCCATGCTCTCGTTGTGCGAGATACGTGTGCCACGCGTCCCGTCCAGACGTGTCAGCAGGGCAGTTTCAAACTGCTTGCTCGTGCATGAGCCAGTTGGCTTGGAAAAGTCCTCGCGGGTGGCGCCAATGGCTTTCAAAAAGTCATTGACACGCTGTACCGTCCGGGGATCACGCCTCTCATTGACAATGACACGATCGGCAAATTTTGTGCCGGGGTTGCCCACCAATATTCTGCCCTCCCGGCAGTTGTGTTGAAAGTGGGAGTACGCTCGGGCCCTAGGAAACGAGAAACGCATAATTTGGGACACGGGGATGGAGGCAGAGATGATAGTTAGAGGCAGAGGCAGAGACAGAGATCATAGTCAGAAGATCAAAGCCAGGTTGAGGTAGAAAGATACAAAGATGCAGGCACAAGCAAACATGAGCACACGGATCAAGAGGCGCAGCGGAGCAAAGCTTCAAGCGGAGTCACAGAATCAGGTTAACGTACGCCGGATCACGCAGAGAAGCAATGAGGCGCACAGACGGCAGCAGGCTATGCATACGCGCTACTCGGGCTGCATCCATGCTGATAATACTAAATAGTCGTACAACAAGCAAGCGAGTGGACGTGTGTGTTAGATTGTGACGCACGCTTCGCAACCTCGTCCGGGCTCGTGAGTTGGCAATCGGCCCAGGCAAAGCCGACAAGACGTACTCCGGTGTCTTCTCAAATGTATATACATGCGAGACGTTGGCGAAGCTGTCCATCTCAAACCCAAGCAAAGCATACTTGCGCCAGCCACTTTCAAAACCACGTTGGTCTAAAAAAACCCCCCCGGAAAGCCCGTGTGAATGCTTCTCGCCTTCTAAAGGAATGTAGGGGTGCGAGAGGTATTTCATCACCGGAGCGTACTGATTTTGTTGAAAAACTGGGCTTCGGGATTCTCGCACACGCCCTCCATAGTGTGCCTGTTGAAGCGCTTCAAGTACGGGTGCATGGTCAGCCAAGAGCCAAGCTCCCCGGTCCCTGCCAAACACAAACAAAATACCATTGCCACGCGTGAGCATACGGTTCTTGAACAGGGTACAGGGGGGTGAGCACGAATACACAGAGGAGCACAAGGCACGGAGGCACGAGAGCGCGACGATTGATTCGACAGAACCCACCTCCTTTCATCACACCCATGATGATGAGCGAGGGAAGACAAGCAACCCCATCGGCGAGGCTGCTATGTGTAATGCAGATACCGGCATCCATGTGCTCGGCCCGCGTGTCATCGGTGAGGGTGATGACGGGACGCAGGCTGAGCCGAATGGACGAGGCGTTGCGCGTGTGTTTAATCAGGGTCTGCGCGTTGAAAGCGGCCGAGTTTGAGATGGGAAGCACCTCGCTCTTGAACCAGTCGGCGACCTGGTCGATGGGCTGAGGGTGAGGGCATTGACTCCTCGCCGTTAGGAAGAGGAGGGATGAGAGCAAGAGGATGGGCAAGCTGCACCCTCGCTGCCTGGTGAACGACATGGCCTGCATCTCAGTTTGAGCCGGTTTTCGGTCGAAAATTAGAGTAAGTCAGAATGCCGCGGAGCGAGTCTTAAGAGTCTTAGACCCTGGCTGAGGATGCCGGTGAGAGTAAAGGAGGTAGAGGTAGGATTGAAGGATGTAGAGGTAGAGGTCGAGGATGTAGAGGACTTATTGGTAGAGGGGTCGAGGGGGTCGTCAGGGACATGAACCAGAAACAGCAGCTACAACACACACACACACACACACACACACACACACACACACACACACACACACACACACACACACACACACACACACACACACACACACACACACACACACACACACACACACACACACACACACACACACACACACACACACACACACACACACACACACACACACAACACACACACACACACAGAGCAGGTCACGTAGGGCCCTTTTGTGAAACGAAGATTTCTCTGACAATTTCTGGTCTGGAGTTTTGTTTTTCTCTCTCTAAAATAAACTATCATCTCAATAGAACGGGGGCGGGGGGCTTTTTGGTTGCCCTGCACGAGGCTGCGCTGTAGCCCGAGCTCGCCTCGCGACACCCACCTACATGTACTTTAGTTTTGTTTGAATAAGTTCGACCTTGAGCATTACAAGTGTGTGAACCTCAGGGGAGCCGCGGCTCGTGAACGTGTGAACTTCAAGTTTTTGCATCATATGGTCATCGAGTTGAGCCCCTGTTTAAACGCCACACTTGCCAGTCCGTCCCAGCCGTTGCAGCTGATGCAACCACCGATTCGCGACGCCCTCAGAGCGTATGTTGGACAGGTGCACCTTATTCATTCCCTCAAGCGCGACATGCTCAAGGGGCATTGTATCGCAACCCCGATCCCCCGTAAGAAAAAAATCCCCCCAAAAAAAGAAAAACTAATCCAATTCGTCTGACAAGCACTATTCGTCTGACAAGTACTTGATCATCAGTCCATGTAATATTCTGACAATCCAACTCACACACACACACACACACACACACACACACACACACACACACACACACACACACACACACACACACACACACACACACACACACACACACACACACACACACACACACACACACACACACACACACACACACACACACACACACACACACACACACACACACACACACACACAGAGGCGTTTTCGGCTTTGAGCCGTTTGCGTCTGGCAGGATGGACCCGAGCGACATCCTCTTCCAAGGGTACATCACTAAACAGGGTCAGTGATCCGCGCCCGCGTGCCTCGTGCGTGTGTGTGTGCCCGTGTATGTGTGTGTGTGCCCGTGCGTGTGTATGTGGCCGTGTATGTGTGTGCCCGTGAGTGTGAGTGTGTGTGTGCGTGTGTGTGCGCGTGTGTGTGCGCGTGTGTGTGGGGTCGTGTGTGCGCGTGTGTGTGTGCGCGTGTGTGTGTGCCCGTGTGTGACCGTGGGTCTGTGCCTGTGTGCGTGACACATCTGATGTCATGTAGCTATCAATGTGGACTCGAGCTGCTATCTGTCTGTCTGTCTGTCTGTCTGTCTGTCTGTCTGTCTGTCTGTCTGTCTGTCTGTCTGTCTGTCTGTCTCAAAGAGGCGGGTTGATTCGGCCCATTTCGATGCCGCGGCTTGCTCTCGTTCCTCACAGTCAAGCGGACGTGTCGCCCGTGCTCAGGCGGCAGCATCAAGACCTGGAAGCGGCGCTGGACCACTGTCACGTACAGTGGACTGACCTATCAACCCACTCCAGTGGATCCAGCCTTTCGCAAGTATATCAACGTCAGCGACTTTGTTGCCATTGTGCCCGGCCATGCCTGTGACTGCCGCTGGCCCGAGGCCCGTGTCAACCATGCCCCACTGAGTTTGGGCCTGGCCACTGCCTCCGGTGGGTTGCTGCTATGAGCTTCTCATTCTCAAAGCCATTGGATATATCCTCAGCTCACCCCTTGGGTGCCATGTACATGACAGGTCGCACCTACCACATCTTTTGCGACTCGGAAGGGGTGGGGCAACACTTGACTGTGGCCCTGACCGTGGCCCTGCTGGCACACGCTATTCAACGACGTACGCCAGTTGCTTCATCTGATCGTGATCGGTCCTTCTCACCCTTTGACTCGTCACTTTGCTCGTGGCGCTACAATTCACACGGTGCATTCTTTTATTTATCATTTTTGCAGCCGATACGGACAGTCAAACTTTGACCAGTCTCTTATCCGCTCTGAATGTCACCAGCAACGCCGATGATGCCCTGCTCAACATGCTGGCCCTACCTTCCGTCCACGACGTGATTGTCAGTTGCCGCCAACTTTCTGAAAGCTGGAGTAGCTCGGATCGCCGTCTTTTGCAAGTTGTGCAAGACAAGATTTCGGCGCTGCATGTTCACGCAGACGCAGACACACCCCCAGTTGAGCCACTGCAGGCTTCCTCACAGGACATTCCTGGTTCAGTCACCAACGCACAGCCTGCCGATCCCTCTTCTGTTTCGGAACAGCCTCCATCCCAAACCGTTCCCGAAGCGCAGGGCCATGGCCGCTCAGATGCCCATCCACCTGCCTTGGGCTTTGCAGATGGTACACAAGCCTATCGTACCGCGCTCCCCGCCTTGTCCCCCTCCTTGCAGCTTCCTTTTCTTCATTCCATGCCAATTCTTTTTTCTCCCAACTCAAATCGTTGTGTGGGTTAATGTGCAATGTTCTCTCCGGCCTCTCCATTAGTCGAGAGTATTGTCGAGGACACATGGCGTCAGATCCGTGCCCAAATTCTTGCCTCAACCCCAGCACAGCCCGTCGTGGAGAAGGATCGCCGATTATGGCGCGATGTTCGCGTCTTTGTCTCAAGCACCTTTGCTGACATGTTCTCAGAGCGTGAAGTGCTCGTTCGTCAGGTCTGAACACCGCCAAAGCTTGGATTACTGATGACTCGCTGTCATGGCCCAGCTCACCTTTTGCCCGCTGATCGGGTGATCTGACGTATAGGTTTTTCCACGGCTGCGTGCTTGGGGTGAAGCGCGTCGTCTTCGCATTATCGTACGCCAAACCCCTCCTTGATCATGGTGACCAGCGTCCTCCATTCTTTCCTGGTCTTTAACCGCATACCCACCGTATCGCCTTTGATGCAGGACTGCGATTTGCGTTGGGGTGTTCCGAAGGAATCATCACCAGAGACTGTGTTTCGCGCTTGCCTCGGCGAGCTCGACCGCTGCATCGAGGCGGAGACCAACCCCTTTTTCATCAACCTGCTGGGTCATCGTTATGGGTGGGTTTGTCTTGTGCCTCTTTTCTTTTGTGGTTTCTTAACCTTCCCTCAACATCTACCTCCACTCCCCTTGAACTCCACTCCCCTTGACCTCCACTACCCTTGACGGCTGATCTCTGCGCCCTCAACATGTTACTAGATGGGTCCCCTCGGACAGCGAGCTTCCAGCCTCCATTGCCACTCAGTATGATTGGCCAAGTAACATCTCCATTACCCACATGGAGATTTTGCACGGTGCTATGCGCACCGGCAATCCGAATGCCGCCTTCTTCTTCCGTCGCCGCGAAGCTTTGTCCAACATACCCGAGAGCTTCCTGCCCCGCTTTGTAGATAGTTCCAAGCTGGGTCAAGTTGCGCTCAACCGACTCAAGGTCCGTGGTGATGCCCGACCAATTCCGAGAGTCCTTTTGCTGCAGGCCTTGAAGTGCCAACCATGGCTCAGTCTCGTACATGCCACATTTCCGTGCAGGAGGAGCTGCGCACAGCGTTTGGGGATCGCTGCCACGATTACGATGCAGAATTTGAGCGCCTTGATGATAGCACGGGAACTGAAAAAGCCTTGCTTCATCGATTGGACGGCCTGGCTGAGGATGTTTTCCAATTTCTCACCAAGGCTCTCGAAGCACAATATCCTCTGATGGAGGGTAGGTGCATGCCGCCTCCAATCACCTCTGTCTTGCCATCCACGTAGAACTGCACTGGCACTCATACAAACCATTGTTTTTTCCTCCCCCCCTTGTGCCCATCCTCAGGTGACCCAAGCATGGTTGAGGAGCTGGCTGCACCCTCTGAACGCGTGCTTGCAGAACAAGAACATAATCACATTGGGCGCGACGACGAAGTCAGACAGATGATCGATTTGCTGCCAAGGCACAGTGTCGTTGCAGATACAACTCAATGTCCTCAACACCACGTATTTTTGGTGTGCTTTAGATTGCCAGAGTTGTTGAGTACTGTCGCGAGCCCGTTGATGATGAGCATCGCCCCATCATGACCTTGAGCGGACCACCTGGTTGGTACCACCTGCAAGTTCTGTGTGGTCGGGCTTTGGCTCTCACCTTGCCTCTTCACGTGCCAATCAGGTTCCGGTCGCTCAACTGTTCTTGCGGGTGCTGGCCGCGAGGTCGGTCGTGGTGGTGCTGGCCCCAGCCGTACTTGGCAGTCTCATCCAACAGCTTTTTGTTCTAGAATTTGTATTCCTAACTTTGTTTTGCACCTCCCACGTTTTCAACCATTTTCCAGCTTCGGGCGGCTGGCTTTGATGTGGTGTTTGTTTCTGTCAAAGCTTCACCCTCAATGCGTATGCTCTTGCCTACGTCGCCCGCACACTGTGCTTCAGATTTCACCTCACTTATTGGGTGCCCCATCTCTAGACCCAAAGGACATTGCTCTGCAACTGCTGGTCAAGTGCGCCGAAACGACTCAAGAAGCCAACCACGTGCAAAACGTATGGGTTTTGACATATCTCAGTTTGGGCACAGTTTTCAACACATGTCATTTCTATGTGCAAGTGCGAGTGTCTCATGAGTCATGTTGCGTGACTTGTAGTTGCTAAAAGACGATGCTGACGGCAAGTTTGCAGCCAGTCTTGTGGAAATGTTTCGGAAGGCCCTTGCACGCCGGGTAAGGGCTGGTTGAAGGCAATCGTGTTGCAGCACTGCAGCACTCAGCGTTTTGGCGCCGGTTGGGCTCATTGACCTGCAATTGCGTCGCACTCTTGCAGTCATCCTCGGAGCTTCCCCTGGTATTACTGGTCGCCAACCTTGACCTGTTGGTGATTGGTAGTGAAATTTTGCAATTGCTCTTTCTCAACGGTGACCGGCTGAGGGTAGCCATGAGCATTGGTACGCGTTGTGAAGCCAGTCCCAAACAAACTCAAAAGACCCACACACGCGCGCACGTGGGCTGTGGCACTATCATAAAGTCTCAACAAACGGCACCTGCAACTTTGTGACAGATCATGGTGCACTGGCTCAGGCGGATGTTGACGAGGCGATTCGAATGCAGAAAACAGTGCACTCAAGGCTGACAGAAGGGCTGCACCGGTTGGCCAAAGCCTCCATCGACTCTGTTGAAAATGAAGAGGTGCAACTCGGGAGGCCAGACTGGGTTTGATAGAACTTGTCTTGTGCTCATCCCCAACTTTATACTTTTGTAGTCTGCCAAGCAACTACCCAACACTGGCATCACAGATTTTGGACTTGCGCCGTTGGATCGTTCCGAGCGCCAGCTTGTCATTGAGCGCTTGCTTGGTGCCTACAATAAGCAACTCGATGACGAGCAGGTACATTTTGTGCTGTGCACCTCCAGGTTGTGCATGTCGGCTGCAGTCTCTCATCGCCACCGCTTGCAGATGACGCTTCTGCTAGACAATCCAGGCTCCCACAACTTTTTCTGGCTGACCGCAGTGTGCGAAGAACTTCGCGTCTATGGTACGCGGATCCTCTTGCCACGCACCAGCGAGCCTGCGTGTTTGGTCATGCTTATCCATTGTGGGATGTGATGACAATCGGATGATGATGCGCGCCTTGCTCAGGTGTGTTCGAGACGGTTACGACCCGTATCCGCCAGTTACCGCCAGAAGTACCGGCGTTGTGTCTTCAAATTTGGCAGCGCGTGGAGCAGGAGGATCGCTCCGGCCTGCTCAAGGAGGTGCGACGGGCACCTCGAGCCTTTGGAGGACCGGTGGATGCAGGCCCACTGGATAGTTGGAATTGTCTCACTCCTTTCTGCTTGGCTGTCCTGTGTCGATCATCTGCAGGCGGCCTTGTACATTGCTTCTCTTTTTACTGGCGTCACAGAGGATGAGCTTTTGGACGTTCTCTTCCCATTTTACTGTGAGTACTTGGAGACAATTGGACAGCCCGTCGCAAACAGGTGCGTTACATTCATTGCCTGGAGGTCAACTTGCACAAGCGGTGCAAGCTGTGCTGACCGCGGTTGACGAGGCATCCCACTCATCTTTTCAACAATGTTAGCGTTGACCGTGTACCTCTCGGTGCCTGGGCACCATTGCGTCAGCGCCTACGCCCCCTGCTTGCCAATTCTCCGTATGTAGCTGCAAATGTACCGGTCATTAAAGAAGGGCTTCTTGTGCTCTATTTTTGTTGTTCGTTTGACACAACGACCTCATTCCAAACTCTACAATGGTGCGGTATGCCCATTTTGATAGCACGCTCCAGTTCTTGGGCACGTGGTTGAGCAACCCCATCGTGGCAGGCATCAAGCAACTGGGCAACAGTGCAGACGTAAACAAGGGCGACCTTCATCGTGCCCTATTCGAGTATCGGTGTCGTGTCGCAGATGTTATGCTTGCTCGCCAAGAGCCATCACGCCAGCAGCCCCTGGCACGCTTGCTTGTAACCCTACAAAATCCCGAGAGAACGATCAAGTTCTGGCAAAAAGCAATCCTGCAGCGCGCGTCCCCGTTGAACGATATAAACTTGCGCTTGAGCCTGCTTTTTCAGCTCAGTTGCCGTCAACCGGTGATGGACAATGGGCCTCGCAAGGCCAAGGTTTGTTGCAGGTGACAAACACTTGTTGATTTTGTGACTCAGCTACCTGTGCTCACGCTCTTCTGGGTATGTGCACGGCAGCCCTTGAAAATGTGCATGAACTGTGCCATGAAGCCTGGGCGCCGTCCCATTGCCTTTCGGCAATTTCAAACTTGCATCCGCTGTGAGGGCATGGTCCCTGGCCATTTGCAGGCCAATGCTTGGCCAGATGAGCGAACCGTATTCTCTCAGCCGGTATGTATGGTGTGCCGTGGAGTTGCTTTATTATCTTGGCCAGCAGCCACTGACTCGACTTTCAATGCACACGATCGTTTGACTTAGGCATACTTGTGCTTGAAGCACTCGCGCATGGATGATTGGTCGACTGCGACGTTTACCAAGTGCATATTTTGCAACGGCATTTTGATGGACCAAGCAACCTGGTATCCAGTCCTCTTGTGCATGACTTGTGCACGGACCGGCGGCAAGGTGTGCTGTCACACTGAAGGCGTCTCTATATGGGCACCATCCTAGCCACACTTAAACTTCTGTCCATAAAATAAGCAGCCACTGTCCTGGCTGGCCGTTCGTTCGGCTTGTGAATGTGAATGCACACAACCTAGAGCGCTGAGAGCTCATAATGATATTGGTGTGATGAAATGACCAGGCTGATCAGTCTTGCGCGATACCTTATCATCACAGTGAAGAGATTGAAGATAGGCACCACGACTGGAAGATACACAGGCACGAAGGATTTCATCATGGTATCGATTCGTAATTGCCAAACCTGTTCAGACTACGATGCAGTCTCAGCACGAGCAGGCAAAACATGAGGCATACAACAGGAGTAGGGCGGGACTACTCGTCCGTTTTCTCAATCACAACGAGCAAGTCCTGGCCAGATACCGTATCGCCGCTGGCCACATGAACCTCCCGCACAACGCCGGCAAAAGGGGCCGCGACACTCGTCTCCATTTTCATGGCATTGAGTACGACCAACGATTGGTTGGCCTTGACAACATCACCAACCCGAACATTGACACCCACCACAGCTCCGGGCATTGGTGCGCCTAAGAATGATTTGGAAGTGGGGTGAGTGCAAGAATAAAAGTGTGGTTCATGGTAGGTCGGCTGAAATGGAGCACGACTGCCTCAACCATATCGTATCGTACCAAGATGGCCAGGATCGTGCTTCTTGGCCTTGGGACGAGCCACCAGTTCAGCAGCTGCCGAGCTCTTGCGATCAGGGACGAAAATGGAGCGTGGCATGCCGTTCACGTCAAAGAAGACCTGGCGCTCGCCCTCTTCGTTCAGATCACCCGTCGCCAAATACTTGACCAACAGAGTCTTGCCTGAGATTTGGGCCAGCCACAGACAAAAGTTTGTGTGAGGGGGCTTCAAGAAAACAGTGTGCATGCATGGGCCGGTCAGAGCAACTGTAGCAATGTTGCGCGATAATGACGGCCCCAAGAATCATACCATTCTCCAGGTCAACAGTGACTTCTTCTCCAGGCTTCATGGGGGCCAAGAATTCTTTGGTGCCCAATCGCGACACTTGGCCAAACTCGGCCATGAAGTTGCGGTACTCGTCGTACTCCTAATCACACACTCGCGGTCAGACATGCGCCCGAGGGGTAGCAAAAACGATCGACAGCAGACATCCAGACAGTCAGTGACACAGGAGACATGCCTTGGGATACATGGCGCTGCTCATGAGGTCACCATCGGAAATATGTTCATGGGCCAGGTGATCCAAATGCTGCACGCTCTCTTCCGAGTGTTTGCGATGCAGTTCCACGCGCAGGGCATCCAGGTCCATGGGTTCCATGCCAGCACCAGGACGGCCCTCGATGTGGCCCTGACCGCGGGTGATCTTGGAGCGAAGAGGTTCGGGGAAGCCGCCCTTGGGCGTGCCGAGATAGCCTTGGAAATACTCGACGACAGATCGGGGGAAAGACAAGGTCTCGGCACGCTCACGCACGTCTTCCTCGCTCAAGTGGTTCTGTACCATAAATTGCGCCAAGTCGCCCACAACCTTGCTGCTGGGCGTGACCTTGATAATGTCACCGCAGAGTCGGTTGGCGGCCTTGTAAGCCAGCTTGATGGAACGCCATTGACTGGCCAGGCCCAGGGAGTTGGCCTGGAAATGCAGGTTTGTGTATTGGCCGCCGGGAATCTCGTGCTCAAAAACGTCAAAGCTACCGCTCTTTTGTCCAGATTCTGCGATGAGTGAGCAAGCAGTCAACAGATCCATGAGGGCTAGCCCGACCACAGATATGACTTGGCAAGATGCCAAACAAGCTGGTCGTCTGAGAGGTGGTGCCGTGAAAGAGTCTGAAGTTGCGAGCCAACAAACAAGCCACAAAAGCTTACCAAAGGGAGCGTAAAGCCCACGGATGCTCTCCCAGTACTCGTTGATTTCGCGGAGGTGATCCAGATCGACGCCGCAGTCCTTTTGAGTACCGGCAAAATGGCTGGCAATGGCGCCCATGCTGGGCTGAGATGTCATTCCAGACATGCTGTCAACGCAGGCATCCACCACATCTGCTCCAGCATCCAAGGCCGCAATCATGGAAGCCACGCCAAGACCTGAAGTGTCGTGGGTGTGCACGTGGATGGGCATTGTGGGGTGCTCACGACGCAGCGCAGAGATGAGCGTTTTGGTCGCCTTGGGCTTGAGAAGACCAGCCATGTCCTTGATGCAGAGCACATGCACATTGGCATCGCTCAAGCGGCGAGCGAGTTCAAGGTAGTAGTCCAGGTTGTACTTGTCCTTCTTGGGATCTGAGACGTCACCTAGGTGTTCACAAGCAAACGAGAAAGGTAGAAGGAAGAAAACGAAAACGTTAGAGGGAGAGAAAGAGTCCGGCAAGGAAGGCGTTGTTGCAGCGTGCCCATCTTCTTGACAAATGCCCCTCGTACCAGTGTAGCAGATGGCTGCTTCAACCACGCCACCCGCAGCGCCGGCAGCGTCGATGCCGAGCAGCAGGTTGTCCATGTAGTTCAAGCTGTCAAAAACGCGGAAAACGTCCATGCCATATTTGTGAGCCGTTTCGCAAAACTTGTAAATGACATTGTCGGCATACGCGGTGTAGCCCACGGCGTTGGCGCCGCGCAGCAGCATCTGGAATGGGATGTTCGGCACAAGCTCACGCATGTGCTCCAAACGCTCCCAGGGGCACTCGTGCAGGAAACGCAGCGCAACATCAAACGTTGCACCACCCCAGTTCTCCAGCGAATACATGTCTGAGTAGAACCACGATGGCAAGAGTGGTCGGGTCAGAGACAGTGAATGATCGCAACTTTGGGAATGCCCCCAAACTTCTGCCGCGCTTACTTTGAAAGGCCTGAGACGTGTGTGGCGCAATTTTGAGAATATCATTGGTGCGCACGCGTGTGGCCAGCAGGGATTGGTGGGCATCGCGCCAGGTCGTGTCCATAAGGAGGGCGCCTTCGTGGTCTCGGACTGCCTAAATGTTTGAACATTGGGTATGATCCCGCGTCAGCTCGGGAAAAAAAAAATAAAAAAATAAAAAAATAAATAAAAATTGAAGAATGAAGGAAGAAACATCAGGATCACCCACCTTTGCAAAAGCTTCAGGGCCTTGGCGATCGAGAATGTTTTTGAAGCCTTTGTTGCTCGACTTGTTGGGCAGCTTTTCGGGCATGATGACCTGAACGGGGGCGGGCTCGCCTTGCGCGCCGACCACAGAGGTGCCGTTGACGATACTGTCGGCCAAATAGCGGAGAAGCTTGTTAGCGCGGTTGCGGCGGTGGGGGAACTCCATGAGTTCAGGATTCTCCTCGATGAAGCGGGTGGTGCAGTCACCGGCAACGAAGACGGGATGGCGCAGCACGTTGAGCAGAAAGGGAATGTTTGTCTTGACGCCACGAATACGCGACTCGACCAATGCGCGTCGGACTTTGCGCGAGGCATCGTCCAGGGTCGCGGACGTAGCCGTCACCTATCGGGCCAATCATGACAAGCAGCATGAGCTCTAAAGTCAAGGTTATTTAGGAAAAAAAAAAAAAAAAAAAAAAAAAAAAAAAAAAAAAAAAAAAAAAAAAAAAAAAAAGTTGGGAAAAGCCAGTTCTGCCATGTGGCGCTGGCAGTCTGGAAAAGCGAAAAGCGAAAAAAAAAAAAAAAGGTTGGAAAACCAACCTTCATCAGCATGGAATCGTAGTAGGGCAGGACGCGAGCCCCCGGGTGAAGCGAGCCACTATCAAGTCGGATGCCAAAGCCACCAGCAGGACGCCAGACGTCAATGCGTCCTGCAAGAAACAAGGGTCGTCAGGGAAGGTACGATAAGGGTAGAAACAGGTGGTGATATGAGCGAACCGGCCACGATATGCCAAAGGCAATGTTGGGGCTTGGTGGGTCACACAGAAACGTACTGAGGAGACTTACCAGTATCAGGGGCAAAATCGTTGAGGGGGTCCTCTGTGGTGATGCGGCACTGAATGGCATAGCCACGCGTGGACAGGTTCTCTTGCTTGAGGCCCAGATCTGCCAATGAGGCGCCACTGGCAATGCGCAACTGAGTTTGAACCAAATCGATGCCCGTGACCTAAATTAACGACGGTGATGAGTCAAGGGCGCTGCCATATAATATGAAGCACCGGTGGTCACTTGTGGACGCGGGGGGGTTCGGGTCTGAAAGAATTGCGATTGTGCTTGTCAATACCTGCTCAGTGACGGTGTGTTCCACTTGAATTCGGGGGTTGACTTCCATAAAGTAATGCCTGGCATACAAATCCACGCGACATGGCATCAGAGCAGGGCGAGTAGGGGCAACACCGAACGAGGGCCAGACAAAAAGTTGACGTGCACAACGTACTGGTTCGTTTCCGGGTCCAAGAGAAATTCAACAGTGCCAGCATTGGAATAGTTGATGGCTTTGGCCAAACGCACGGCGTCCTATGAGCCGCAGCAAGGGGTTGAGGAGTGCGTGAGACGGAGCTGGGGCCAAATTCAAACAACCGTGCAACGTTTTTTTTTTTTTGACTCACGTTGCAAATGTTCATGCGAACATCCTCGGGCAACTTTGGGGCAGGGGCGATCTCAACCACCTAAGAGCAAAGGCAGAGGGAACATTGAAATGCGTCGTCGAGGCAAAGGCGCTGAGAAAGCAGGGCAGTTATACCTTTTGGTGACGACGCTGGACTGAGCAATCGCGTTCGAAAAGGTGCACGACATCGGTGCCATCACCGACGATCTGGACCTCAATGTGGCGGGGGCGGGGCACAAAGCGCTCGACAAACACAGCACCATCACCAAAAGCGGCCTGGGGCAAAAGGAAAGGAAAGGAAAAAACAAAACAAAACGCACAATCATGCGTGAGTGGTCAACATGGACAGACGGCAGTCAGAAGTCAACCGGAGAAGGAAGAAGCAGGGGTTAAAACTGAAAAGGAGGGCAAGGGCAGGAGAGAAGATTGAGGGGCAGCCACGTACGAGCGCTTCGGAGCGGCAGCGGTTGATGGCTTCCTCGAGTTGTTCGGGCTTGTGCACGATGCGCATGCCACGTCCGCCACCACCCATGGACGCCTTGACAATGACGGGGTAGTTACAGCCATTGGGTCCTTCCACAAATTCACGAGCTTCTTCAACGCTTTGCACGGCATCGGTGCCGGGGACGACGGGGAGACCATGTTCGAGCGCCAGGGCACGGGCCTGGGTTTTATCACCAAAGCGGGACAGTTGCTTGCTATTGGGACCGACGAAAACAATGCCAGCTTCTTCGCAAGCACGGCTGAGTTCAACCGACTCGCTAAGAAAGCCGTAGCCTGGGTGAATGGCGTCCACCTGGGTGCGTTGGGGAGGGGCAACGGATGATGTCATCGGGACGTGAGGCGCGTACGGATGCGAGGTCAAACATGCAGGGAGCTTGGGTTCGAAAGAAGTGATGCAGAAAAGAGGTGTGAGTAACCTTGTTGTCAATGGCGATGCGAATAAGGTCAGGGATCGAGAGATAGGCAGCGACGGGGCCCTTTTCAGGGGCAATCAGATACGCCTCGTCAGCCTTGTAACGGTGCACGGCACTAGGCGAGTGGCGGAGCAAGGGGCAGGGACAAGGTGAGTCGAGGAGCATGGGATGAGAGCCCAGTCGATCTGGAGCCAACGGCTGACATCGCAGCTTGGACATGGCAAGAGGAATACATACCGGATATCTTCTTTGCTGTAGACGGCGACGGTGTTCATGTCGAGTTCGGTGGCTGCGCGAAAAATGCGGATGGCAATCTCGCCACGGTTGGCAGCCATCACCTTGCGAATCGGGCGTTGAACGGCTATCCACGCGAGCGCAAACAACATCACAAAATGTCATGAGGATGGGTTGCATGCGTGATTGATCAAGAGGATGATCAGTGCATGGGGTTGCTCAAGGGAGGCGACGTACTGTAGTTGCGAGTGGCAGCCGCCACCAGACTGCTGGCGGGGCTCGGGCGGATGAGCCGCCACGCAAACATGCCGATGGTCATGCCTGCACGTCTAAAGACCGAGCAGATCAGTGTGAGGTGAGGCAAATTGGAACTGAATCACAAAGCTTGGCCGTGCCGTGATTTGAAAAGTGGCAAGAGGTGGTTGAGGTGCCCGACGCGCGCGCAAGCCAAGTAGATGGTTGACAGTGCTTGCCACGGTGTTGTGAGGTGCGTCCGTGTAAGTATGAGGTCGAGAAACAACCAAAAAACAAAGAGAGAGAGAGAGGAGAGAGAGGAGAGAGAGAGAGGAGAGAGAGAAAAGTTCGGGTGCCCGCTTGCCCACACGATTTCCCGCGCCACATCCACAAACACCACCGAGCCCAAGCAAGTCGAGCGGGCACCATGGCAAATGTACGCGTGCCCCCCCACAACATCCACACAGCCAGATCATCAAAAGCAGCGATTTGGGTGCTTGAATGCCCATGCAGTGCCAGCAGACGCGGCAGCGGGTATAGGGCTCGTGCGCGTGCCGATGCCAGTGGCCGGAGGCCTGCATCACTGAACATTACTTGTGTGCACAACATCCCTTTCGGCTCTCGAACGTGTGAGGTGCTGTCCACCTCTCAACCAAAGTTGCATTTGCGCCCAAGCCGTGGGCACTCAGAGCGCCACACACACACACACACACACACACACACACACACACATTCATGGCCGCCATTTGCATGATCCTCCAAGGCCGGGCCGTACCTCACACACACACAAACAATGTGTGTGAAGAAAAATGAAAAATTGAAGAGAGTTTGAGAGAGAGTTTGAGAGAGAGAGAGTTTGAGAGATTTTGAGAGAGAGAGAGAGATTTTGAGAGAGAGAGAGAGAGAGAGAGATTTTGAGAGAGAGAGAGAGAGAGAGAGAGAGAGAGCTTGAGAGGGAGAGCTTGAGAGAGAGAGAGCTCGATAGAGATTATGAGAGAGAGAGTTTGAGAGTTTGAGAGAGAGAAAAAAGTTTGAGAGCAAGCGAGCGTTTGATCGATGGTCGGTGCGTGCGGAAAGGAGAGTCGAGGGCATGCCTTGTGCCGCGAGCCAAGAGCACCAGCAGGGCACAACGACGCTACAGTTGATCACTGAAGCCAGTTCAACGACCATCTTCATCGTTCACTGCCGTTCACGTGCCGAGCATTTTAGTTTAACATGTTTTCCTAACTCGATCTCCGTGCGTGTCAGTGGATCGTTTCTTCCCCCTCCTTCCAGCCCCCCCACGACAGGTTGGCTTATTCGCGTCACCCCTGTCTAGATCTCATTTTTTTCATGGCTCCACCTCCGCCATCATCACCGCCGCCGTCACACCCGCCGCCGCCGCCGTCGCCGCCGTGTTCGTCGCGTCACTCTCATCGCGCTTCTTCGTCTTCGTCTCTGTCTCTCTGTTTCTCTGTCCGTCCCTGTCTCTGTCTCTAGATGCCGTTCAAGATCTATCAATCTCTCTTTTCAACCTCTCCTATTCCAGCTTCTCCTTCAACGCACCCGCCTCTCTCTCTTCTCAGGTTCTTCAGCTCATGCACATCTCTGCCTCTAAGCGGCGGTGACGAAACGTTTGGTTGAAGAATGTTTTTCTGCAATGTCCTTAGGCAAACTTGCACGTGTGGGAAAAGGCTGGCTTATCAGCTTGTTAAGAAGCGTACGCGTGTGGTGCCTTCAACTCACTGACATCACATTCTTTGCTTGAAGATTGCGACATTATTACGACATCAGCACAGGTATGTAAGGTAAAGTGTGTCATTCAATACACTTTGTGTAGATTGCTACCGACCCCATGTCGTAACATCGGACAAACGAAAAAATCGGGAAAAACACAACACAAACACAGAACACACAAGATCTTGTACAGGAGCAGACGCTGGCACGTGAAGATGCAAATGAACGAGCGCATTAGGGGAGGGGCAGGCGCTGACTCATTGGGGAGCGTTCGCGCAGTCACTTATTAGGGGAGGGACGTTTAGGCACGTTCGAGAGAGGGACTCAGCAACCACGACAAGCTTGTCAAGTGAACAGCCTGCTGCTACCTCGAAACACGTCGCTTCTCTTCTTGAGCCATGCATTCATGACATGCCCCAACACAAGCCAGTCAGAAGGGATACAAATTGAGACGCCGCTCCGTGATTGCTCCAACAATGATGCATGGAGGTTGAGGCTCGAGCTGGATCGCCTAGTATCCAGCTGCCTTGCCCCCTTTTCGAGGATCAGAGGCTGCGTGCAACCGGCCGTTGGGTTGTCGCAAAACCGCCTAAGCAAACACATTCAACATTAGGAGAACCAACAACAACAGCCACAACAACAAGCCCAGCTTTCAAAGGCCATGCCGTCTTCACCTGAGCCACGGAGATTGGCATGCTCTCCGGCGTTTGCCACTTGTGCCCGAGTGCCTCGAGGCCGCGCCGAATAGAGGAATCAAAGTCCGCCTCGCCCAGAATATAGTCGGGTAAAAGCTGCATTCGAATATTATTATTGGCAATGCCATCAGACACGGGCAACACCAGATACAAGCACCACACACTTGGACTCGTGGCGAGCCCCAAGCCTAGCTTGCTTGCAAGGATACAGCCATCACAAACCTGATGATGCACTCGCGGGTTCGCGATGGCCTCCTCAATGCTTTTGTCCATGCCCAATGCCAGCAGGATAACTTGCGCCGTTGCCGTGGTGATCTACCTCAAGCATAGATATTGCCATGAGGCCCAGCCCAGTCACCGGCCCGGAGAAGCGTGCGCTTAGCCTTGACCAGTCACAACATGAAACAGACCCGAGTGCCGCCCGCCGCGCCAGCCACGAGACGAACGCGACCCTCCTTGTCCAACACAATTGTCGGCGCCGAACTAGAGAGTGGCCGCTTTCCCGGTCGAATAAAGTTGGCTGGGGAGGGACGCACCCCAAAAGCATTGGTCAAATTTGGTGACGAGAAATCGTCCATCTACACAAAGCTCGCGTCAGTTGTCCCGTGTGTTCCAAGCAAACAGGTGCTCAACGTGGGTTCAAAGCAGCGAGGCGGCGATAATGCCACGCCTGAGATCAGACAAGCGAGCCAAGACGACACGCTCGCGCCTGATCCACAAGGCGGCTGCCGATCACGGGCGCGACGGATTCCAGACCTCGTTGTTCAGCAAAATACCATCTTCCGTCAACACCTTGCTGCCCCATAGCAGGTTCACCGTCGACGTCACACCCACAGCATCGCCGTCTGGGCCAATGACTGCATCGAAATGTTTGACAAGCATGAGTCGGGTCAAGATCAGAAGGCGACGAGGACACAGGATATGGCGCCTTTCGATGGTCCAGCCTTGATGCATGGCCCCTCTGACGGGTAAGCAGGTGCACAAACCTGAGAGGTGCGTCGTGCCGGGAGTAGGCTCCACATCGTAGTGTGCACCGTAATACGAGGGATCATGAAAGGTTCTAACGCACGAGCAAGAGAAAGAAACCACAGACGTCAGGTCTCAGTCAGCTACACCAGGGATTGGTGGATGTCGAGCATGCACGCAACGCTTGCCCTTACTGGTTATCAAAGATCTTATCACGCCAGCCAACCCCGTTGCCCAAGTCAAGCATAGTTTGTTGCAAGTTATCAATGAGTGTGCAGGAGGTCTCGTTGGAGCAACCCATCCCGGACGTGCGATCTGCGGCACAACAACCATCTGCCAGCTCAGTACGCTAGAATTGCATGCGACGCATCAAACCAAATAAAAGATGAGACCAAAGTTGAAGGGCTGCTCTCGGTTTGTTTCCCTCTTTGAAAGAGTCAAGCATCATGTGAGACGCCGACTTGCAAGGCCCGACACAGCGCACGACCAGGTCGCCTGCACCAACCTTGGCATACGCAAATTTGAAAGCTTCCACAAGTCGATGATAGGTGAGTGTGTCCACCTTGTCTGCAGATGCTTCGTAGTTGCGCAAAATGTTGAACATCATGCCCAGTACGACGCCCGAGGCAGGCTACAAAGCACATGGATTCAGCTGAGTTGGGCAGCCCTGTTCGAAGAGTTGCCAGCTCTGTAATGGCAGGGGCTCCCGACACACCGCAGGCGCCAGAAGGAGTTCAAAGTCACCCCATGTCATGGTCTGGACACTTCGCACAATGGGCTGGTAGGCGGCCAGGTCCTGCAGTGTCATGCGGCCGCCAGCTACTCCAAGATTATCGCGGTGATGAGCAATACCGTGCATAAACTGACAGAGCAGGACAGGTGGGATTGCTGTGGGAATGATGGCATGCGGGCCAACGTGACCAACCGACGTTCTCGTTGATGGCGTGAATCGTGTTCTCAGCAATTGTGCCCGAGTAAAAGGCTTGGCTACCTTCTTCAGCAATGCGCTGCAGTGTGTCGGCCAGCTTGGGCATCTTGAGGGTGTCGCCTGCAAGCCAGAGACCATGTTAAGCAACGTGCACCTTGCGGCGATTGAAGCTGGCCGGCAGATGTACAAGGCTGAATTGTAAAGAGGTGGCACTCACCTTGCTGCACAAAGACACCACCAGGGGCGAGCAGAGCATGCAGAGCTTGTTGCGCCATGATTAGCTCTTGTCTGCAATGTTGTATCACAAAGGTAGCCAGGATCCCGCAATTAGACGGGCAGAAGAACAATCGTGGCCAAAAGGGGAAGCCAGAGGTGCAGGCAACAAACGAGGATTCGATGCTATTGGCCATGTGTGCCGAAACCACAACGCCTTCGCGTGCCATCTGTGCCACGATGTTGAGCAAAAGTCGGTGTCAGTCTGGGGACAGCGCATCCCTCATGTTTTGATGATGGCTATGCCCGCCCGTACCTTGATGGCAGGGGCCAGCACCTGGGCCCAAGGCAGTCGGCCATGTCGCTGCCAAGCCAGTTCTAGCCCACGCACCTCGCCCGGGACGCCTAAAAAGGGAGGGCCCCGTGGAGTTCGTCCACAACTTGACCGTCAGTGCGAATGCAAATCGTGGTACATGTGTGGTCCGTACACATGTCAGGCTCAACCTACCAACAGCATCACCACCAAACTGTGAATTACACCAGCGACGCAAGTCCGGGTCGCTGGTGCGACACACGGCCAGCTACCAAAGGGCCAGGCGGTAAGAGAAGAGTGAGTGTGAGCACCTTGCAGCGTGAGCTTGATGTGTGAGCCACCAGCAGGCGTGGCCATGGCGGGACAGGTCGTAGAGGAAAATTGCTCGGGATAGCGGACACCAATGTCCCCGTTTTGGTGCTGAGCCGGTGCAGCTTGGCAAGCACCGTGGCTGGCAAGTGCCATGCGTGTGGTTGACAAGTGCCATGCGTGGCAGCAGCAGCCTCACCATGTCCTGGGTGGCGAGGGCCGGGGCAACCTCACGAAAGTCGATGACCTCTGCATGCCCCGTGGCGTTGCGAACCATCATAAAACCTCCGCCGCTGCCAAAGGTGGGCAAGCACCAGGAAGAGGATGAGTAATGAAATGCATGCATGCACGTATGGTACATGAGCAGTCAGGACGGCGAGCCGCACCCAATGCCCGAGCTCTCGGGGTGCACCACTCCCACACAAAACGTCATGGCGACGGCAGCATCGACAGCGTTGCCACCGGCCTTCATAATGTCCACGCCCACATTTGAGCATTCGGTGGCATCGGCGGCTGCCGCACTGTGACGACAAGAAGAGAGAGAGAGAGAGAGAGAAAAAAAAGGTGAGACAGGGAAGCGTGGGAAGAAATCCGAGTCGTTTAACGCAGCAGTGGGTGTGAAACACGGCGGTGCAGGTCGCGGGACCAACCCATGGGCATAGCCGTTGCTCTTGTGGCTCCGACTGCTCAGACCGACAGCCAAACCTAAGTTGGCGCCCACAAAGCAGAGGCAGAAGTAAGCGAACAAGACAGGGGAAAAAAGTGAATGAGGGAAAGATGAGAGGGGGGCGAGGGGGGCAAAAGGGAGAGAGAGAGAAAGTGCGTGCGTGCGTGTGCGCGCGTGTATACGTGTCGGGGAAGACGACAGGTCGTGTGCGACGTACCAACGACGAGACCCAACACAACAATCGATGCTACAGTCACGACGAGCCACTGACGACGGCCCCACTTGGACCCGCCGCCCTCAGCATCAAGCATGCCATACTGCTTCCCCGTGCCAACCATGTGGCCGGTACTCAAAAATCAAGCTGAATTCTCCTGCTGAAATCTGCTGCTGCTGCCGCTGCTGCCGCTCGCCGCAACGCGCGCGTGAGAGAGAGAGAGAGAGAGAGAGAGAGAGAGAGAGAGAGAGAGAGAGAGAGAGAGAGAGAGAGAGAGAGAGAGAGAGAGAGAGAGAACAAGTGAGCGAAGGCAGTGAGCTATCATAATAATGTCAGAATTTTATTGCCGTCCATCCAGTGTGGATTGTCAGATGCTTCAAGGGGCGTTGTTACGCACGGAAGTGTTTTACAGACTTTTGCCGGTGGAATTGTGAATAAATGTGGAAACATGGATGATAGAAGTTGATAGTTAAAGAGTATGCGACTGATTATTCATAGTTACTGAAGAATATTACAAAAGTTTTAACAATGCAAATTATAAAACTATTAAGAAGATGTAGCAAAACATTGAGTAATAGAGTCTGACAACTAAGAAGATGAAGCAAACATATAACATATAGACGGGTAAAAGACCAGTTGTTGTTGGAAAATATCGAGTTGTTGATGCAGTTTATCCAACTCGCTGTGGCTGCTTGTGACTCCGACCGCGACCGCGACCCCGACGCGACGACGACGCCATCAAGCTCGATCGTTGCTGCTGGTGCGTGGCTGTCTTCCTTGCTTCTCCATGCCTTGACCCGTTTGTTGCATGCTTCCTAGCCTCCACGTGCCATGGTAGGGTCAGTGACGGCAGGTCAGTGACGGTGGTGGCGCTGATAGTGGGTGTGTGATGTTTCAGGTGGTAGGGCGACGAGAGGAGCGCGCCGTCGTTCGTGGGGCTTGAGGATGAGACCCTCGTGGAGCGCTGGTCATTAAACAAGCTGCCAACATGGCCGTGGCAGCACAAGGCCACCGCCTGTCCTCGCTCAGTCTCCTCGCTCTGGTCGTTTTCCTCTCCTGCTTGGCGCCGGGTCGAGCGCAGGCCTGTACCGAGTGCATTCGCTCCCCAGCAGCCAACGAAACGTTTTACCTTGATGATCCCAACGGAATTGTCTGGCACACCACCAACGCCACTGATCGCAGCGTGATTGTTCGCCTTGCCAAGGCCGATGCCAACTCAGCCTCGGGCTACAGCGATGTCCTTTACAACGGTGAACCCATTTTGCGCGAGACGGTGACGCAGACACTCGGTCTCAACCAGCTGGTGCACACTTTCACCGTCGACCCTGGCACCAACTTTGTCATCCTTGTCACTGACGCCGTCACCAACGAAATTTTGCTCGTCTCCGACCCCTTTGAGATTGAAATCGGTCCGAGCCAATGTCCGCCCCTGCGCCGCCTTGTCTCAGGTGGCACACCCCTCACGTTCCACATGCAACCTTTTGCTCGTCCCTCGCCTTCTCCCCGCCCCCACTTCCCTATTATGAAAAGACCCGGGTAATGTCATCAGCATCCCACTTCCACCCGAGGGCGCCGTGATGCAGCTCGATCAAGAGTTTCGACTCGTCGTGAAAGTACGTTAGCTTTGATCTACACCGGCCGATAAAGCTCGTTGTTTCTGTGCAGACTTGTCTGCATATCTGACCGCCTGGCTGGACTTGGCCTGGCCTGGCCTGCCGGCCATCTCTTCTGTAGAACCTTGAAAATAGCGCTTATCAGAACGATACCTTGATTTTCGCCATCATCTGCATCTTTGAAAACGGAACCAAAGCTAGCTTGTCGAAGTGGGGCGTCATTCGCTCTTCCATCGATGCTAGTGACGCTAAGGTTGAAGATGCAGATCGGTCTGTTGCGTACACAAGGTTGCCAATCACCAGTTTTCGCTTTGCCGTGCTGTTGGACGGCACGGTTGTAAGCGATGGCCATGACTGGTACTTTCCAAGTTAGTTGGCGGCTCGAGCCTTGCACCACGCCCACCTGCCTCATCGCAAGGCGTGTTCGGCCCCGCCGTCGCCCTCCCCTCATTGGTGCTGGTGGCACTGCATACAGTGTTCTTTGCGGATCCCCTTTCCCTGCCCACCGTCCTGGAGCCCGGTTCTGTTTTTAACATCACCATCCGTTCTCTGCATTTGATGGGCAACGACGTACTGCTTCGACTCGAAAGCCAATCCAACCCAAACATCCGTGAGACTACCGTTCTCGCGAACCCAGGAGCCAGTCGCACCTATCAATGGACTGTACGTCTTCTTCCTTGTTTCTGCATCCTTCGAAATATCATGCAGCTTTCAGATTGACTCAGCCACTGCGTGCAACGCCCATGGTGACGGCGCACGCTCGCTTTCGTCACGGTTGCCGATGCTGTTGTAGGTCCCTCACCTTCCTGCTGGCAACGACGAGTACGAACTCTACATGATCGTCGCCGCCTTTCCCGCGAAAGGATTTACGATCGAGAATGACCTGACCCTGGCTGACAGTGCGTGTCGATATCAAGTCCCATACCAGCGCCCACCTGGCTCAGTACTCCAACCCTCATGTTGTTGCTCCTTTGTGTCCCCTCGTGCCGTGTTCTGCCCCTCTAGCTCACACGCTGACGAGCTCCAATGTGCCCTGGCAGCGTTGTCAGTTGGCTGTTGCCAGCTGGACGGCGCTGCGCTTGGGCCCTTTCACCGCCTCCCTGCGATGGGTCTATGATCATGCTGCACAAGCATCTGAACATGTTCTGACTCTAGTCAGTGGGACCCCCGACTATGCGCTGGCTACCATGCTCCCCGCTCAGTTAGCACTGGGGGATCACTATCTCCTACGCATCGCCCAGGCAGAGAACAGCGGCGTTTTTACAGACGTGCTCGAAGCTCTCTCTGTGCTCGATGACGCTTGTCGCAACACGTCCTGTGGTGGTCGGGGCAACTACACAAATGGCCGGTGCATATGCCCTGCAAGCCATTATGGGCCCGACTGCGAGACAGAGGCCTTCCCCACTCTTGTTGGGTTCTTGCACCAGCCACACCAGGCGCTGCGCGAGGGTGATGCAAGCAAAGTCATGATTCTGAATAACATGACTTTGGAGGCCTGCATCAATGCATGTGCGCGCACGGACGAGTGTATTGCCGCCACCTACGCGCAAGGTTGGACCGATGCCGCCCTACAGTGCCGGCTGGTGGTCAACATGAGCTTGGCAAGCCTGGCGTCAATCGAGCGATCGAGTGTGGTGTACGATATGTTTACCAAACACCCGTGCAACGTGGACAACTGCTCGCTCTGCACAAGCGACGGTGACACCTGCCTTCGCTGTTCCAGCCCAATGAGGTTGTGGGATAACCAATGCCTTGTCGACTGTCCGCCTGGGACGCATCTTGACATCGATTCACTTACCCATGGAGAAACGTGCACGCCCTGCCCACCGGGCACCTTTGCACCCGTTGCAAATGCCGCAGCTTGTGTGGATGCGGCCACCTGCGCACCTGTTGGCATGCAATATGAAGCTCGCGAGCCCACTCCCTCGTCAGATCGCATCTGTCTCAATGTAACCGTCTGTGCCGCTCATGAGCGACCCATCATCTTTGCTACCGAGGACACGGACAATGTTTGTGCCAATGCCGCCGTTCCTGTCGAGTTTTACCACCCAACGCTGGGGTTCAAATTGGGTACCAGTAGCTTTGATCACCGCTCTGGCCGCTCGACTCAAAATCTGACCCTGCCGTTGCAATCCCCGCTTGGTGCCACTGGCTCATTGACCGCCCACCTTGGTCGAACCATGACCACCTTGGACGTGGGCAGCCGACCACCTTTGGCCAATGTTGCCACCACGGCGCACTTGCTTGCCAACCCGGCGCGTCTCTCCGCCGACCGTCCCGTCCAAGCCTTTCTTCAAGGTGTCTGGAACGATACCGGTGCTTGGGTCCGAGATGGTCATGTGTTGAGCGCTAGCTTGAGCCCGATTGACTTTGTCGCAGCGGATCTGCAAGCCACTTGCACCAGCGACATCCGTGGCGGGTGTCAAGTCACGTTTGCCGTGCCGGCTCCATGGTTCGCTGATGCTGGGGGACTGGTTCGCTCGGCGGCTCTCAGGAATGCCGATGGCACGCTTGCCGCCCATATCTCGCTGTATCCCAGTGTCAACGCGAGTGCGCAGCCCGAGGCGACGGCCGCCGGTATTGTAGCCATCGGACAGATGCGTCGTGCGCGCCCAGGTACGACCTACGACGTCACCTTTCGTGTCGTCGTGCCTCACAACAGAAAGCTGGGTGGTTTGACACTTTCAATCGTGTCCCCCGACACCCTGGTTGTGGATTTGCGTGCGGCCACCGTGACTAAGCTCTTCTCGGACCTGACGCTGCAGAGCGCTGCCGGTAATGGTACCCGGCTGGTGCTAGCGGGTGTCTTTGCAACGGCACCAGAAGAGCGCGTCATTGAGCTGGTGCGCATAGCTTTTCCCGTGGCATCGCAGGCTGAAGCTGGTCCGCTGGTCCTTAATATGACACTTGTCAGCCTGGTTGATGATGCAGCCAATGAACTGGTGGCCGATACACCCATAGCGGTCTTGGATGCAGCAGACTCGCTGGCTGGACTGTCGAGCACGGTGCGAAGCGATGGTCGCTTACGCATTCTGCTAGACAGCGAGGAACCCGTGGCTGTCTTTGTGGCAGGAACCGACCAGCCGCATCACCTCAATTGGGCGCAGCTTGAGGCTGGGGCCACCCCGCCTCAGGGTAACCTGCAATCACGCACACTGTCATCTTGGGGGGCGGAGACAGCTCCAGCTCGACACTGCACCAGCAACGAAGACTCGCTCACGCTTGCCCCGGGTTGTGACACATGGATTGCAACGGCCAACACGAGCGGTGTCGTGACCATCAATGTTTCGGCCGGCAGTTTGACGGCACAGGTTCGACTTGACGTGGTTGGGCCCACCTTGCCGTTGACCCTCATGGCACTGCACCCAGCGACGGCTTTTGCCCGCTCCAGCGTGGAGTTGCGTGCCATTAACGGAACAGATCTTTTCCAGGTGGCGGACTTGGTATTAAGCACGCGCTGGCGTGGCTTTGCGACCAACGTTCAGCTACCCATTGGTAGCACTGGTCGTCAGCTCGTTTGCATCGGTGACGACGTCGGTCTTCGTCTCGTTAACGATACCATTTCCGTCTCTGCACCTGGTATCTGTCGACTAGCAATACACGTTGATGGGCAAGCCATTAGTACCGAAATTGTCCTCACAGTTAACGACACCAACCCTGTTCAACCTCGCGGCGTTATTGCGCATGTTGTGACGGGGCTGGAGTCCGAAGATCCAGCCGTTTGGTCTAGTTACACTGACGTTAGCACTGCAGCAGTTTGGCCCAATGCAAACTTTTCAAAGGAGGGTCAGCAGGGCCGCCTGGCTGTATACGGCGCACTGAGCGACGGCAGCATCCTGCCCCTGTCTTTGGGCACCGGGCCGAACACGGTAGTCCCTAGCCTGCGTCAAGCCGCAGCGGGCGTCGTCCAGCTGGCTCTTGACACTTATCGTGTCGACAGCAACGCCCCAAACGCGTCTCTTGACTCCGCATGGTTGGGCGCTTCAAACACAACTGTGGCTCGCGGGGAGGTTCGGTTTCAAATTGCACTGCCGGCTCCGGTGAGCCTGGAGCTTTTTGTATCAGACGTGCAAATTACCCGCAACGGCAGCGTGGCCGCGCGCTTGGGGGTGGCAACTCAAATCACCGTAACCGTGATCGTACACTACGACGATGGTACCCAGCGTGCCGTGCCCAGCACGGACGACCGACTCTCACTCGCAGTAGACGCTGGTCAAGCCATGGTGAGCGGGGCGGAACTTCGGCTCGTTGCATCGGCTGCGCCCGGCCCCTTTATGCTACGGGCCAACTTCAGCCATGGCAACCTTGCGACGAACCAAACCCTGACAGCAGTTGAGGCGGTCGCGCTTGCAGGACGGCTGCGCCGCTTTCCCGTGCCAACCGATGTCAATGTGACCAGCCTCGCTCGAATCGGTGCCACGGCGATCTGGCAGCAGGCCCGCGTGGAGGTCGATGCTGTCCTGTCCGATGGCTCACGCATAGGCGTGTCGCATCGTGATGACGTCGCCGTCGTATCTGCGACGCCTGATCGGGTACAAGTGTCTTGGCTCTCAAATTTGTACGTGGTGACGCGTTCACCCGGTGGGGCATTTGGCGCGGCTCAGATCTACATGTCTCTGGATACGCTGAATGCCACGCTATCTTTGACTGTTCTTGACTCGGCCGTTGCGGTTGCGAGCATTACGGGTCTTAGTTTCCCAACAACGTTTACTGGTTCGGTCGGCACCCAAGCTTTGCCATCATGTTCTGTCACGCTTGAGGATGGCAGCGAGTTGCCCGCCAGCTTCCTCTTTGACGAGACGACGGGTCACCTGTTGCTTCCTGGCCTGTTTGAGTTTGGTGTTTCGAACACTGCCAGTGTGACTGTCAACGCCTCGTCGGGCCTCGCGACCCTTCTGGACAACGACATTGTGTCCAATGCGTATGGTGTTCAAGCTGTGCGTGTCGATGCCGAACCCGGGGTACGGGAGGCCGTAAGTTTTGCTGCCAACCTGGCAGCTGCGCCAGGTTTGGCTGATATCGGCGCCCAAAGTGGCATCCCATTACCCACGCTTTCGGTGGGCGACGTGGTGGACGTGCCGCTGCTATTGCATTTTGGCGCCGTGGCGGTGGAGGGGGCTGCTGCTTCTCTTAGCATCTTTTACAACGCCACGGCTTGGACTGTGCTGGACGTGGTTGCTGCGCCGGCGTTTGCGGGTATCGTGGCCGCCAACGGTCGCTCCACTGGCGTTGTCAACGCCACCGCCATTCTTCAAGGATCGACCGGCGTGTCCGGTCTGCAGCCAGTGCTGCTTCTGACCCTGCGGGCTGAGGTGGCTGGGGATGCAGCGCTCAGCGTGCGTGTGCTCTCATTCACTAATCAGGATCAGGCCCCGATTGGAGACGCGGTGCTTCCAGCTCTCGCACCCGCCGCGGCGGTACAGGCCCGTGTCACGCCGGCGGTTCTTCGCCGTCGCCGCGCCCTTACCTGTTCCCAGACCGAAGCAACGGCCACGTGTCCTGCCTCACGACCGGCGGGTGATGCAGATGGCAACTGTTGCCTTACGCCATTGGATGTCTTGTATCAGCTTGATTATATCGTGCTCGCCGAGCTGGGCACCCCGTTGGCGGTGGAAGCATTCCAGCTGGCGGGACTGGATGCGGATTTGGATGGTGTTGTTGCACTATCGGATGCCCTCCTCACGCTGCGGGCGCAGGCTGGCCTCCTTGCCTTTGCGAGTGAACCTTCCGTGGCCGTGCCTGCCTTTGACGGCTCAGGCTCGTGCATGCTCCAGGTCAATGTGACCCTGTCGGCGGCACAAGACACATTTCTGGCTGTGGGCGAGACTTTTGTGGTCTTTATCCTGCAGGCGCAGCAAGACCAAGAGCTTGCGGACGGTTTGAGTGCTAGCTGGGTCCACCGGGGTACCTTGCTAGAGCCGCAGGCCGGAAGCTCAACGACCGCCCAGTTTATCAGAGGCGAATTACTCGAAACGCAGGGCATGACTCGTGCCGTTTTTGGGGTTGAGTTGGACAGCCGTCTGAGCCTGGCACAATTGGGAATATCTTATTTTCAGGGCAGCAATGCAACCCTTGAGCGGCAGGCTGCCAACCTCGGCCCTTGGGCACGAGACAGCAGCTCAGCTGAGTTGTACGCTGCGCAATCAGTGCAGCTGATGCTACCCACCGGGGTCATCGAGCGCGTCGTCTCGCCCTATGCACCCCCGATTGTGGTCAACCACACATCCTCAAGCGCGACATGTCGGGCAGCGCGCCGGTGTGGAGCAGGGGAATACACGGCCGTGAATGCCACGTTGACTTCGGATCCCGTGTGCCAACCAGGACGAACCTGTGCGGCGTTTGAGTTTGAGACGTCGCCATTGCGGGAGTACGAGAATCGCATCTGTGCCAATGCTAGCGTGTGCGACGCGACCAGCCAGTTTATTGCGGCGCCGTTGACGGCAACCACAGATCGCACGTGTGCTACGGCCACACCCTGCAAAGCACACGAATACCAAACCATGCCCAAGCAGGCAGAGACAGATTTTAGCTGTGCCAATGTGACGGAATGCAGAGTCGGGGAATACACGTCTGCTTCACCGACAGCGACGTCAAATCGTGTTTGCCAGGCCATTGTCACGTGCGGCCCTGATGAGTATGAAGTGACAGCGCCCACCAACACCTCGAACCGCGTTTGCGAGCAGGTGCCAATGTCAACGCCCCCAGCTCGGACGGTACCGTCAAGCAATAATCGCACCTCGGCCACTGGCCTGATCATCATGGGTGCCGTGCTGGGAGGCTTACTGCTTTTGTTTTTGCTGGCACTTCTCATTCTATGGTGCTGGCGTCGACGCCGAGCGAAAAAGCCAAGTAAACCTGCGGAGACGGGGGATTTGCAGCTATCGCCGCTGGAAATCGAGCAGATTGAGTTGGATAAGCAGGTAGGCTTCTGTTTGATTGTTCTGAACTTCTCTGGCTCCCTCTTTCCGGTGCATATCGTCTCGATTCCCAGCCGTTGCATTAATCCGATATTCATCTTGCTCTCGCACCCACCTTGTCGCAGGGATTCTCGTCACGAGGATCATTTTATCGACGCATGTCTGAGCTGCCGGAAGCCGAACGCCGCGCACAATTGACCCGTCTTGAGGGGGGCACAAATCATCGGCACTCGCTGCGGCTCGAGGATGATTTGGACAGCTTCAAGCCACTGACCTTGCAGGAGACTGATACCAACCGTTTGGCCATGACCAATGTCACGTATGAGGATGTAGAGGGCGAAGCCGAACAAGCCAACCCGGCATATGGGGCCGCCTTGGGGGAGCAGGTCAATCCGGCGTATGGTACAGCATTGGCTAGCGGCTTGGCAAATCAGAACCCAGCGTATGCACAGTCCGGCACGCCGGACGGCAATCACGCCTATGACACGGTGCCTGGTGCTCGCCTCGATGCGCAGTACTCGGAGATTGAGGGCGCATCCGAGCAAGTTAACCCGGCGTATGGCCGCACACCGGACCAGGGTGCGGCTCACTATGAGGTAATTCCCAGAACTCGGCCAACCCTACAACGCCAATCTGCCTCAAATGCATCTGAGCCCGCATATATGGACAGCCACAGCCTGAGCTATGACGAGATCACGGTGGGTTGGAACGTCCTATTCTTGCCACCGTGGCCGTGTCTGTGTCCGTGTCTGTGCCGTGCCGGTGTCCGTGGGCTTGAAATGAGCGCCGAAACCAGCTCATGGCTCGTTGTTTGGGGGCAATGTATGTGTAGTTTTGTTCTGGCAACACCAAGCGGCGCACGCGCGTCATTGCTGCGGGCATGTACGAAGATATCGAGTCTGGAAACATTCTCGTGACGTACGTCTCAGCTTTACTTGTGGGCTTGTTGGATCAGGGAAGTGCGTGCGTGAATGGTCCCGGCGTTAGTGCTCATCATGCTTGGGTTACAGGGCGACAAAGGAGACGCGTCGAGCGTTTGCAGCAGATGCCACAAACGTGTCGCATTATGACTTGGTGCCCGCTGCCCGCAGCGGGCCTGGGTATGACGAGGTGCCCGGGCAGCGTGCGCAATACTTTGATCCTAAGACTTTGAGCTCAGGTTCGCAAGGGCCGGCTTACTTTGACCCCGCAAAACTGCGTTCACCTGGTGAGTCAACGTGGCGGTGGCCAGTCACATTGGAACATGCCCGGTGCTCCTCACATTCTGCTCACCAAGTTGCTGTGTGCTCAGCTCCGGAAAGCGAGCAGCCTACGAGCGGGCAGACGGAATACCTGGACGTTCAACCCAACAAGACCTCGGACAAATCTTTTGCCATCGACTTCCGTGCAGGTTATGACGTGCCTACCTTTGAGCCGGGGGACAACGGGGCAGGCGCTGGGCTGCCAAACGCCTCACCGAGACGGCCCGAGTATGATGAACCATCCTTTGCTACGGAGGGTCTGTATAGCGACGCGCAAACTCTAGGCCGTGACAGCGAGTACGAGATGGTGCAGCCACAGGAGTACATGGAAGTGCCACGTACCGCAATCTTGCGCAATCCCTTGTATGCGGGGCTTTTGTGTGATCATGACAAGCAGGTGTCACGACAGAACTCTGAGCCGTCCCGACCCCCGTCACGCTCTCGGCCCCCTTTGAGCCGAGGCGACTCCGGGCTGACCCGGCAGCCGTACGTTGCTGTTTTGCTTTGTCGGTTGGTGTTGGGTGTACATTATCTCTTGTCGGCTCACACGATCGTGTGTTGCGTGCGTACCCCATGCCTTTCGCCAGGGTCACACGTCAAAGCAGCACCGCAAGTCAAACCAGCTTGCTGTAAAGCAATGATCAGTTATATTCCGACTACATGACTTTGTATGATTATTATGAAAATGCCATCATGTCTCGAACACGAAAGCGAGCCCTTGTGCAGAGTCTGACCACGTCTGAGTCGGGCTCAGGCTTAGCGCAAACAACATAGCGAGATATCAATAATTGATGCCGTCAAACACGGTCGCAGATCGATTTGTTGATGCAGAGCAGCAGCGCTCCACTCGGCAATAGATTATCAGGAAAACAAGTCAGCCAGAGGTCAGCAGCAACAAGAGAACTGACAAAACGAAAAAAGGCTGACAAAGAGTGGCACACACTGAAACGTTCTGGGGCTTGCCGAGCGGTCGTGGGCCAGAAAAGCCTTCCAAAGCAACCTCCCGCAGGGAGCGTTTCATCTTCAGGGCAAAAGCAGCAAGCAGTCTCGCGCAGCGAGAACCAAAGGGCTTTCTTTACGCATCGCTGTGTTTTTTCTTGCTCTTCTTGTGCTTCTTGCTCTGGATGACAAAGTCATCTTTGGTAGTGGCCGCTGAGGAGGCTTTGGGCTTGGATGCTTCCATTTTGGCCTTGAAGGCCGCAACGTCCACGTGCTTGCTTTCGGGAGCGCTGGCCCGATTCCGCTTGGCGGGGCGATCAGCCTCAGCCGGTGTTTCATATGCCGACTGGCGTTTTGCTTGGTTCGCGGCCGCCTTTTGAGCTGCTTGATCCTGTTGTCGCAACGGGGTCACAAAGCATGAGTGGGCGTTGGCTCTCGCACGCAAGACTCGACTTGGGCCATGCTTCCGTCAATGATGACAAAGCCAAACAACATGAAACGAAAATTCAACATGCGCACACAAGTCGCAGGGTGGTGGTGGCAACTATCATCAGAATGATAACTTGCAGCATGTGCACTCGGTGGCGCATCAGCTAGAGCTAATAACAAAACCCATCACCTGATAGGCACCTCCACCCCCACACTCTCTCACACACAGAGAGACACAGCCAGTAGCTCACACATGCACAATAACATGTGCACAATGAGGGAGTATCACACCTTTTTCTTCTGCGTAAGGGCGGCTTGACGCTCTTCAGGCTTGAGAAAGTATTCACCGCTCTCGAGCATGAGATCCTTCTTCGAAGGCTGAGGAGCTGGGGGAAAGGGTGTGTACTCTTTCTTCTTAAACTTGGGCTTTTTGCGTTTGATGTTCGACGTCTTGAATTTGGGCAAGAATCGATCCCAGCTAGCTTCCTTCAGAGCGTCGTTGGCCATGAGTTCACGCTTGATCATCATGGCCTTGATGTTGTACACGGGATGAATGTTGTTCATGCAATCCAGCACGACGCGACGTGCTTGCTTCAAACCCTGAGGATGATGATGCGAGTCGGGTGAGGCATTGGCTTGACAGGGGGGGGGGCCAGGCAAATTGTTTAAGACTCTCGAGGGGGAGCACTCACTTTGAAGGGGCCCATGCAGGCGACCGTGTTACCCTGCACAAGAATGTAACACTCGGTCAGCAACTCAATGGCTTTCAAAGTGGCTCCGTTGGGGCCAATCAAACGCTGGCGCCGCTTGACAAATCGCTCCTGCGCGTCAGGGGGTTGAGCGTGAGAGCTACATGTTGGAAAACAAGCAGCAGATACGAAGAAAGAAAGCCTAAAGAGCGAGGGAACTCTTCAAACGGGATGAACTGTCTGACCTTGTTGCGCACAAGGCCATTGATTTTGATGATGTCACAAGCGACGTCGTCTTGGAGGATTTTGATAGCGTGCTCAAAAGGTACGCTTCGAGCAAGAAGCTTGATAAGGTCGCGAGCCTTGAGGATAATGTAGGGATCCCACGTCTTGCGAGTTGTGCGCACAGTCATGCTGCCCTCGATCAGATCGAGCTCGCAGGCAATGTGGAGACGCTTAAGCTCCGATGTGATGCGCGACCAATGCTCGCGAAGGTACTGCTCACGGTACTTTGGGAAGAGGGTGCAGAAGGAGGTTTCGTCAACCATCAAACCCTGTCCCATTTCCTCCGTAAAGGGCTCAATCTTCCAATGATCAATGCCCTCATGGTCCCAAGCTGCAGCAGCGGCACGGATGAGGAAACCGGGCACCGCAGCCCCCGTATTTCTTCAGAGGCAGGGGGAGGGGGGGATTGCTATTATTTTTTTTGTGTTTTTTTTCTGGCATAGACTTACGTTTATCCTTGCGATATCTCTTGTTCTTTGGCACGGCCGACGCCTCAGCGGGGCCATCGGCCGCGGGCGCCGCAGCGGGGTCAGTGTTGGCGTCAGCCATCTCGTGGTGCACCGGCAAATGCGACGAAACCACGTGTCGATGGAAAATATCGTTTGGTAACACGGCTGCGGACGAAGTCAGTGATATGGATGATGTGAGATTTGTCAGCCATCACAAGGTCAAAATGTGTGTGTGTGTGTGTGTGTGTGTGTGTGTGTGTGTGTGTGTGTGTGTGTGTGTGTGTGTGTGTGTGTGTGTGTGTGTGTGTGTGTGTGTGTGTGTGTGTGTGTGTGTGTGTGTGTGAGCAAAGCACCATCAGGTTCCGACAGCGATCAAGCTCGGTGCCGCTGCTTCGGCGCAACAGGAGCGAATTGCAAAGGTATCGTGGTGTCGGGATCTGAGATCGATTGGTCTGCGGCTGCTAGCAGCTACAGTGTTTGCATTAGGCGCACTGCTTGGCACAATCAATTTGGTAGGCTGCCTCTTGGGAGTGAAGAAGTATGGCTTTCATTCATGCAGTCAGCTTTCAATACAACGCGCAGTCAAAACATGATAACACGGCTTTAACAGAAAAACGTGGACAGAAATTGGGTCAAGATCGGCAAACACACCCTTGAGTTGGCTCACTTACGAGGACTTCCGGTCGCCTTGCCCGGCACAGAAATCTTAAACTCAGACAACAGCTTGCACTTCATACACAGATCGGCAGCGTCAGCCAGGTGAAGCTTCTTCAGCGCAGCCACCAGCTCCTGACGAGAGTCGTCATCCTCTAAAAAGTCCTCCATGACACGTGCCAAAGCAAAACCATCGTGCTTCTTGTCCATCCTCGAACTTGGCACTGCACCCACGTGACGATACGGCTTCAGCGCCCTCGCCTCCACGGCAAAATTGCAGACATAGACAGGGTTGTCGACGAGAAACCGGCCGAGATCAAAATCAATGAGAAAGGCCGCTGGATGCCCCTCCCAGGCACTGCAAAAAAGAATGTTGCGAGGGAGAATGTCGCCGTGCACAAAGCCAACGCTGTGTATGGCCTCCAATTGGCGGATGACCTGGGCCAGTTGCTCGAGCTTGCTGGGGGGCGCCAGCTCCACGTAAGGGTAGCTGAGCACATGCACGGCAGTTGCAAGCTTCGTCACCTTCCACTCCTGATAGAAGGAGCCCGTCACATCCAGTTGAGCGAGCTTTTCCAGGATTCGGCCGTCGGGCGGGTGGCGGCAATCTGCGGCACGTAAGCCATTGCTCAAAGCACTGCAGAGGCCTGACAAGCGACCCCAGTAGTCAAAGTGCTTGTACAACACCTCGAGTTGCTTCTCGTCGCTGTAGACCTGCACGCTGGGACCAAACGATTTGTGCAATTGCAAATCTTTCTCGCAGAGGTCCTTAAAAGGGCAAGGAAATGGTTGTCGAGGCAAGAATGGCCGCGATCTTGTTCTCTGCGCGTCAGCCAGCAAGCTTGCCTGATCACCAAGCACAAACTCCTTGCACGCTTGCAAGATGCACTCGACCTGCCTCGAATTTTTGTACAAGCTTGCACACCCGAGGCGCAAAAAAAACACTCCGGAATACTTCTTCTTTTTGTTGGCACTGTCAACCCCAAGTGATGGCAGAAATGATGGTAAGACTTTCTCGACCGCCGCCCAGCGCTCACCAGAAATCGTCAAGACCAGGTATGCGCTCACATGGTCTCCCACCACGTTGATGTTGACAATGGGCCACTCTGTGGACTTCCGGCCATCCAGTCCATTGGACTCGCTGTCGCTCTCATACCGTGTAGCAATGGCTCCCAGTCGCTCGAGTTCATTGGCAACCTGTCCTCCATATTGATGGAAAGGCTGCTTGTCCTTTTTGCACTCGCCCATGACAACAACGTGGTGGTTCTGGTCAAAGCCCGCCCAATCGACATGGGTGTTCTTGTCGCCAATCGAATATTGATGGACAAAGTCCAGGCCAAAGTGGTGCTGCAGCACGATAGTCAGTCGGGAAGAAATGTCGCTCTCCCGCTGGAGCTGAGACAATCGGGAATGTCGCTCAACATCGACCGCCCACTTGAGGTCTTCAATCAACTTCTCGTCGATCGTCCGCTTGCCATCCGCGCAAAGCTCATCGATGCGCTTGACGATTTTCGCTGCGTAGTAGTGGTGGCTGCAGGGAAGCTCTGCGACGATGCAACCGAGCTTTTCATATGCATCGGTCAGAGTCGGGGTAGATGAGGGCGCTACTGAGGGCATCGCGTTAGCAACTGATTCTCTTGTTTGCCACGTAAAGCCTGCACACGTGCAATCAAAGACGGTCATGTGAGTGCGGTGGCTCACCAACTGTATGCAGGTGCACCCAACAATGACCGACAGCAGACCTGGAATGGGTGACACACAACGTCAAACACACCTTTCAAGGGAAAATGTTTCTTCATCGTCTGGGGTGAGGTTTCGTTGTTGATAAGACGGACGACAAGGTCCTCAAATGCATCATCACTGAATGCCATCATCTTCTTTCGCAGGGCCATGTTGTGGGTCGCAGTGAGGCCGCAAAAGATGTTTTCCAAAATTGCGAGCTAGTGAACGCAGATCAAGTGAGGCTGGCGTGCGCAGAGGTGGTAGGTGGTCTCACAGCGAGACGGAGCACGACAAACCTTTTCACTGCACAACGTCCGTTTCTTTTCGAGGCGCGCGGCTTTGCGCTCTTCGGCGTACAGCCGCGCAGTTTCGGCCTCGGCCTCGGCTATGCGCGCTTTGGCCTCGGCTTCGCGCGCTCTGGCCTCGGCTCCGTGCGCTTCGGCTGCTGGCTCTGCGCGCTCTTCGTGTGCTTCGGCTGCTGGCTCTGCTCGGCGCGTTTCAGGCTCACTTTGGGTGGCTTGCCCTTCGCTTTCAGACTGCCCAGTGGCTCTTTCCACAAGATGCAACCGCTGCAGGTCATCCGATGGATCGTCCATGATGCGGGATGCCAAAGAGCAACGCCCCACACCCCTTCCAAGAAAAAGAAAAAAAAAACCAAGAAGAAAAAAATAAAAGAAGAAGAAGAAGAAAAATGCAAGTCGACAAACCTTTCCCGCCATTTCCAACGGCTTCTTATGCGCTAAAATTAGATGATGGCGGGTCTCACAGTGGTCGAGAACTTTTTTTTTTGTACATGTAATTGTAATTTCGTCGATGCCGAGTGCACAGGGTGCCAAGGCCAACAGATCATTGGCCAAGCTCTTGGCTGTCGTGGACAAGTGCACACCTGTCTCCAACGACATTGATGCAAACAAGTCCGTTCATTCCTTGACAAGCGTCTGCTCACAGACGCATGAGCTGCGCCGGTAAGCCTCTTGTCGATGCTGGCTGTGTATCCGGATGTATGTTTTTTTTTTTTTTTTGTACTTTCAACCTTCTGCATCTCGCCCAGCCCCTTGCTGACGCTGTTACTTGGACACAGGTATAACATTTACAAACGAGGCATCTGCACAGCTCGCACCTCCGGCACCAGCTGTGACAGTTGGCGCCCTGCACCACAGAAGTCTGCGGCAGCCATGCCACAGCATACCACAGCATCCCATGCCATCAAACACGCCAGCTGCTACATCTAGCTCTGGAGCTACCGCATCTAAGACACGCGAGCCTCTGTTGTCCACGCAGACCGAGGCAGCTGCTGCTGTGCATATGCCCAACACGCGAGCCTCTGTTGTCCACACAGACCGAGGCAGCTGCTGCTGTGCACATGCTCAACCACTCGCCGCCGACACCTTGCGATCCCACGGCCCCCAGAGACGGTTTTTCGTTTGGCACGAGGCGTCACTTACGTGCGCGACACCAGAATCAGCCAGTCAGTAAACGTCGCGTCAGGCGCAGGCAGGTGCTAAATGCGTTTGCCACGCGGCCGTTGACGCCCACACCTCCGCCAATGGCAGCCGCCATGCCCAATGTAGTGCCGTTGGCTCCAACCTCGCAGGATCAGCCACATCGTCAGAGGTCAAAGGTAGGATGCCTGCATTTGGACTCCAGCTTGTCGTGGAGCACATCGCACGGCTGTGCGCGCGATGTTGGAAACGCCTCACTGTTTGTGCGCGGCTTTGAAATAGATTTCACAAAAACGGTTTCCAGACTTTTGTGGATCCGCGGGGCCAGGATCGGCTGCCAGGGAAGACTGCGGTGACCTTTGCTGCAGTCACCGTGCTCCCCTCTGGCGTGTCAGCAACCATAGGGCAACCAAACGCTAACCCAGCAGATGATTGGAGAGAGCACAGCCACGAGCAGCAGCCATCGCACCGCAAGAAGAGGCAGTTGCGACTCGTACAACAACTGGCTGCCACGTCTGATGAACAAGATCCAGCAAGCCAAGCTTCGCAGCGCGAGTTTTCCACAACATCAAGTCATGTACACCCGGGCGCGCGCACCACGGGATGCGCGGCGGAGTGTGGGAGTGTTGCCGCTCTGCGTCCAACGCCTCCGGACTCGGGTCTCATTTTTTCCTCTGTTCGGCCATAATAGCTATGCCGCGTCAGTGGGTGCCGTCCACTTTCAAACATCGGCCAAACAGAACAAAGGCATTGAAGAAATGTTCAAGGAACTCACCAAGGGTGTGTGCCCTTGTTCCTGGCCTGGCCCTCGTCTCTGTTCGCGGGCATCTCCTTTGCCCGACTCGACCCTGGCTGCACCTCACCGCTTATTTTTCGTGCACTGCCGTGGCCACGTTTGCAGCCATGCTCGCACAGCACGGTACCACGGACTCTGGGCGTCGACGACGAGATCCACACCGTGTTGAGGTGGAGGAAGACGGTGGCGCCTCTGCGCAGGCGGCAGCTGGTGGTGGATGCTGCTAAAGCCCGTTGACTTGCCAACGATCGATTGTTCCTCCTTTGTTGATCGTTTGCATCTGTGCCTGTTCTTGTCTTTCTTGGATCGCGCCACCTCCTGGACGCAGAAGAAGGGGATAATGCTTTTAGACGCCTGCCCGCGCACCAAACACGGCAACCGTGACAATGTGTCCAGCCAAAGGCGTTGACATTGCCCGCCTGCGTGATCCATGTCCAAGGGAGCGATGCTCTTCTCTTCTCTTTGTTCCTCGTTTTCTTTCCCGTGCGTGTGCTTTTCTCTGTTGCCCAGCCTTGGCGACCTTCCCCACGGGTTGTCGCCTTCAAGGCAACAGGGTGTGTTTAGGTTTCATTGCTGGCGTCTCTCTCCTCCAACTGGTCCGTCGTACGGACTTTGGAAAGGACCATGGTGGCGTGACGAGCTTACATGTTAATGTACTTCTTTGTGTCCTTCTGGCACCAGGTGCATGCATACCTGTCATTGTATCTCTGTCCATTCGTCTGCCGTGCCTTCTACCTCTTCTTTTCCCATCCACCTCCCCAAAAGAAACACCTCCTTGCACTCTGAATTCATTCTCCTTCCTCCAGTGCCCCAGAAGCCCGATGTGCCACCAGTGCAAACATTTCCCTTTTGCCAGACTGTTCTAAACTGCTGACCTTCAATGCTGTTTCAAATGAGCCGTTACCGGCGTCCTCCTCCCCTTCGCTCACCATGGCGGAGTGCAGCCTGCTGTCCTGGACTCGGAAGCGCAAGAAATGGAGTCAGGACGGTGAGAGGAGGA